TAAAATTGCATTCAAACAAGTTTGATTATCATTAGGAGATTAATAAACTAAATCACTTACATATTTGGTCAAATGTTTTTGTCAATTATTTGTAGATATCTTAATAAAATCATTCCATAATCATTGCACACTAAAATCACGCACACACATGTTCATGAAAAAAAAAAATGCACTCAATCAAGTCTGATTATCATTAACAAATTAATAAACTAAATCTCTAAACTTGCACTCAAACAAGTTTGATTATCATGAGGAGATTAATAAACTAAATCAATTAAATATTTGGTCACATTGTTTTGTCAATTATTTGTAGATATCATAATAAAATCATTCCATAATCATTGCACACTAAAATAACGCACACACGTAACTTTCACTACAAAAAGAATTTGCATTATGTTATTTTTAATTCAAGCAACAAGAAGCAAATCATATACTCTTCTTTTTTATTAGTAAGATTAAGAAAATGATGCAAACATGGGGTTTGATCAAGGATATCAAGAGGTCCAATAGGCCATTCCTCAAACTTCGTATTATTCGCATGTTTCAAAGACTTCTGAGAATTTTTCTAACAAAAAAATGCTTAAGTTAATTTTCCATGATAATGAGGTTTGTCACAAGGTTCTATTATTATTAATCGATTATTATTAATTTACGTGCTTTTCTTTTGTATATATTATTGTAATTTTTTTTTATTTTTTATTTTTTTGTAGGGTGATAGGATAACCGGTCTCATAAGGCCCGTTCACATATCTCATTTCATTGACGAGCTTAAGGATGGAGAAGCTTATGCCTTCAATCATTATCAAGTGGAGAGTAACAATGGCATTTACAAATCAACTATTGGCAAATTACGGATCATTCTTCACAGGGGAACCGAATTCTATAGACTAAAGAGCTCATTCCCATTGTTTAGATTCTCTTTTAGAGAATTTTTCACTTTGCGTGATATCGACAACATCGACGAAGCAATTTTGTTTGGTAAGTCCTATAAAAAATTTTATGAAGAGCGTTTAAACCTATTTATTATGTTTAAATTATTTTAGATGAATTGATGTCTATTAATAGATTTTAATAAAATTTATCGTGTGTAGATGTTATTGGCTTGGTGTTGGAGACCCATCCAATTCAAATAAAAAACGTGAAAAGTGGTCCGACCGAGATGATTAATTTCACTCTTATGGATTTGGAGTTAGCTGTTTTGATTTTTTTTTTTTTGTTAAAAGTTTCACTCGATTTTTTTAGCTTCTTAAGATCTAATCCTACTTTCCTTTTTAGCTGGGCTTGTTGTCTTGTACTTTAATTGGACTTACCATAACATGTACCGTTTGGGGAGCGTATGTGGATCAATTTATTGCTTTCGAGAATTATTATGTAGAAGCTAATCAACCGTTTGTCTTGATCATACAAATGTGTCATGCAAAGCTGTGGAATGGTAATTTAATTTTAATTTTTTTATTTTTGAAAATAAGCATAAAAATTATCTAATTATAATTTTAAATTATAGTTAGCATCTAAAAGACCGAAGTAAAAAAACCTAAGCCCCAAATCGCTGCTCGTCGAAGAAGAAAACCTAAGCCCCAAATCCGCCGCTCGTCCTAGCTGCTCCGGCGTCTGCCTTCCTCGGCGAAATCATGGCTTCGACCGGCGGTAGCCCTCGGCGGCTCGCTCCTCATCCCTGATTCTACGCGTCTCTGGCGGCAGGCGGCTTTTCCGTTCGGGATGGCTGGAACTCCGGAGGTCGTCTCCTTCTCCGGTCGCGTCGGTGGCCATTGCAGCGGTCTCCCTCGGCGGCTACTCTCCCGGCGAGGTGACGCAGTTCCGGTGGACAACCTCCTGGAGATGCCGAGCTGTCGGAGGACGGGTGAATTGGAGAGAGCGGCGAGGCTCAGGCTACTCGTGGCGTTCGCGCTGGGTTGTTTGAGCGGGGGGGGCGACTTTCTTTTCTCTCCCCGGCTCTTCGTTGGGTTCGGGGGAGCCGGCGCTGCGGTACTCGGCTAGTGGTGTTAGGCGGGTGGTGCGGTGTTGGTAACGGCTAGTGGTGTTAGCTGTTGAGGAGTGTCGACTCTCTCTGGCTGGGGACGGGTCGTTATTGGTGTTTGGTTCTGGATTTGGCATCTGCTTCAGATAGGCATTAGGCAGTGTAGGTTGCAGGTACCGGGCCTTCGAATCTCTCCCTGATTTTGACCGTTCATCTGCTGGTCTGGCTTGATCTTTCTGCCGAGGAAGGGCTTTATTATTGATTTTTAGGTGTTTTGTTCTAGAGTTATCTATGTGGTTTGTCCGTATTCTGTGTTGTTGGTTCTTTGGTTGTGTCTGTGTCTTGTATTTTTGGTTTGGGCCCTTGGCCTCTGTGAGCCCGAGTGTCAATTTGATTTCCCTGTTGGGGCCAGATGCTCGGGTATTACCCTGTTGGGGTCTCTGTGTTTTTTTTAGTATTTTAGTGTTTTAGTCGTGTTCTTGAGTTTTACCCTTGTGGGGTCGGTTCTAGGCGGTCCTTTGGACGCGTCCTCCCACTTTTTCAGCTGTTGGCTGCGTGTATTCAGCTGTTGGCTGTCTGTATTCAGCTGGTGGCTGCCTTGTATTTTGATTGTTTTTATAATATCTCTATCGTAAAAAAATAATAATTTTAAATTATGAGCATTGCTTAACTATTACTTTTTTTTCAATAGGTGAAGTTCAAATAACGACTTGAAAGGAAGTCACACATTTGATTGGTGTTCACGATATTCTTGAAGTTCAAGACTTTCTAGAAAAGTAAATAATTTTTAATTTATGTGTTACATTATGGTTATAGATATATTTATATATTATATTTTAAATAAATATCTTTTTAATATGATGTCAACTAGCAAAATCAAAAGTGTGAAGCTTAGATCGAATAGCTCTTTAGTTGTTAAGAACTTAAGAGTGAAGTTCAAGGACTTGAAGATGGTGATGTCATCGTTAGCTATGTTGATTCTCTCCATGAGACTGAAGAGGTAATATAATATATATGCTCCGATTTTCATCTTATAATACATGTTTTGTATGATATCATTATTTTTTTTATGCCACAGAATCCCGAACATATGAGCAATAAGCATAATGACAATACAATCACAAATCCACAATGTCGGTTTGTATACTTTGAAATTAAAGCATTACGAAAGATAATCCCAAGATTATGACCAAAAATACTTTCCAAGATTCTTGCTAAATAAAAATCAGAAAAAGAAATGTAATGCCAATACAATCCCAAATCCAATCTTCACAATGTCAGTTTGTAATCTTTTAAATGATAATTATGAATAAAAATAGCAAATCCACAATCCTAAAGGAAACATAATTTGAAAATACTGAAACTCTTATTGATAGAGATTTGACAAAATAAAAATCTATTAATATATAAAGAGACAATGCATTTACTTGAAATACCAACTAAAAATCAGTAAAAAATAATATTTAGTTTCCCGCCTAAAGTATTTACTATATTGAGTAATATTTTTGGCAAAAATTTTAAAATTCCCGCCTAAATTAATGTACATAATCATTTTGGTCAAATATTGCGGCTATTACTTTTATTAGTTGCATGATTTAACTTTGAAATATAATATATTGACAAAACATGCAGCTACTACCTTTATTAGTTGCATGGTTTAAATTTGGTATATAATTATTAAAAAAATAAAAAGTTTTTTAATTTAAAATTTAAAATAAAAAATAATTATTCATAACTTATAGGTCAATATTAACTTGGGCGTAAACGAAATAGTCAATTATTTATAGTTTAAGAAATTACTCAATAACTTATGGTCAATACTAACTTTGACGTAAACGAAATAGTCAATTATTTATAGTTTAACAAATTACTCTTCTACTTAATTTTTTCATTTGAATAGTTCATACAAAAAAAATTATTTTAAGTAATGAAACAATATAAATTTTATATTTATACTTATTATTTACATAGGTTGTTAAATATATGATAGCATTTTACCAAAATAACTATTTTATGGAATCACATTATAGTTAATGAAATTTTTGAATAAAATTTTTGAAATAATACTTATTTTGAAACGAATATAATGTAATTTATTATCAGTAATGTGCACCACACGGGTCGAGTACTAATTTGAAATAGACACTTTTATATAATTTTTATACAATTTAAACTTTGTATAACATTATCAATAAATTAGTATAGGTAATTGTATTACATATTGATTCCATTATTTTAATTTACAAATATTACTTAATAAGAATTATTAATTTATAAATATTAATGAATATCTGTTACCTCGTGCACTGCACGGAACTCATACTAGTTAATTTAAAATAGAGAAGACTCATTAGTTTCTACACATTAAAGACTCATACCCTATTGATACTTTAAAGCCCAATAACTTTAAAACTTAAGAACATGCTTGGATATAAAAAGTTAGAAAATGCTAGATGTACATAATAAATGTACATAGAGTTGTACATAACACACACATGAGTGGGGTCCACTTGATTTTTTATGTTTTGGTAGGATCCACTCAATGTGAGTGTTATGTACACCTCTATGTACAATATTATGTACTTATAGCATTACTCTAAAAAGTTTTTGTTTTGATTGGATTTTTTAGTTTGGGTTGGTTAAATTTGAAAAAGTTAGTATGGTTAGTTATTAGTGGATGTATTAAAATAATATTTAAAATAAAATAATTAAACTAAATTGATGTAAAAGTATGAGAGAGAAGATGTGATGTGATGGTTAGTTAAAATCATATGAGTGGATGAATAGTGAATTAATGTTGATGTGATGTGTAAGAAAGATTGATTGATATTATTTAATTATATTGTTAATATCGATCATATTGAGGTTGAATTAAAGTTGCGTTAAAAAAATATTTGAATTAAAAATGATTAGATTTTTTAGGTTGAATTTGTATCCAAGCATGCTCTAATTGATCAATTTTATTTGGGTTTTTTTATTTTACAACCACGATACAATAATTATTTCAGGATCCAACAAATTCATCACCAGCCACATACTCCAAATTCCAAACAAACACATACCACTTCTGAAAGATATTCAGAAACATACACCAAAGCAAACTTGCGCCAGCAAGCGATATTCTTTGAAAGAGAAAAGAAAAAAAAGAAAAAGAAAAATGGCAAAGAGGCAGAGGCCATGGATTGGGAGCTCACTGCCTGCTGTAGGCATGGTTTCAGCAGTTGTAGCTTTAGCCGTTAATCAAATAATAGGCAAAATGGCCATGTCCAAAGGCACCAGCTTTTACATTTTGTCTGTCTATTCTAATGGTTTGGCCACTCTTTTTCTTTTTCCTACGGCTTTTCTCTTCCACAGGTAAGTCTTATTATTCTTTTTCTGCTTTGTTTCATCTGGGCATCTCGAATTTTTCAGCACTACATTTTTTCTTTTATTTTTCTCTGAAGAAAATTCGAGATATTTTTGTAATTTTTTTTTTTTTGGCAGGTCAAAGCGGCCAAAAATGTCATTTCCTGTTATGTGGAGAATTTTCTTGCTTGCTTCTTTTGGGTTGGTAAATTGATCTTCTAATTTTAAAACAACTGTTAATTATCAGTGTTTGCCATTTACTTATATAAGCTCCAAGATCATAGTTGTGCTTTTGTAGCGTGCCTTAAATTTCTGGACAATATGGTGTTTACATATGATTTTGGGTTATGGGCATGGTGAATTTCAATTAAAGACCATCTATCATGAAAGTGTGGTTAACATGTATAGAAGAATATAACGAGCTCTGAGTCCTTGTTTTTTGTTAGAAAGCTCCATACATATCTAGTAAAGATAATTCCATCAACAGATTAAATTTTTTGATTTGGTGTGGTTTAAACTTGGGAAATTCTATTCCTAGTTTGTAATAATAAAGGAGAAAGCAAGAATTTTGGTTTGGTAAAATTGTAGAAAGGAAAAAAATGAAGGCTATAAAGTATAAACTTCTTGCAGTGCATTTAGTATATTCTGAAAATGGGATATACATTTAAGGAACATTTGGCGATAGCTTCTAATATTTTGTGTTTCATCTTCAACATATCTTGAGAAAATGTGCCAAAAGGTGAATTTATGATTTGTGTGCTTATGGTTCATAAGGTTATTTATTGTCCCTTACAAGATGTGATTGAACGCTTTGGCAAGCAAAAGCTTGGTCTTTTTCAGAAAACACGTGTCAGCAATAAATTTCATTTTTCCCTCTCATGAAAACAAGAAGCTTATTAAGTTTATAAAATCTGTTGCAAGATGTTTCGCGGAGATTGGTAGTTATGCCGGCATAAATTACAGCTCGCCAACTCTCAGTACAGCCATGTTAATTCTTGTTCCAGCATTTACATACCTTCTTGCCATTTTTTTCAGGTAAAATACTTTTTAGTACCTTAGTCAATCTGGTAGCCATTGAGGACTATAATTTGTTACAGATGGATCCAATTAGCTGAAATAAAGAAAATTCATAGTTCGACATATATGACTGTCTAAGCCAATTCCCATCAGTAGGATTCATCATGTTAGAACACGATTGCCTATATTAGTGTCCTTTCATATATATCCAAAAAAAAAAGAAAAAAAGGAAAGAACAAAAATAGCATATATGTTAAAATTAATAAATGGATCCTAGCATTATTACAATTCTAGGCTGTGTTAATATTTGTACATAATAGATTGGGTGAAGAGAGTATATCCCTCATGCTTGTCTTCCAATTTCTTGATTTGATTGCCTTAGGATGGAAGATGTAAATTTTAAAAGATTTAGTACCATAGCCAAGTCTTTGGGTACTTTAGTATCCATTACAGGAGCATTTATCGTGACATTTTATAAGGGGCCCGCTATCCTTAATTCACCATTGACATCTGGATCGTTTACGAAACTCTACTTGCCCTCGTCACAAAATTGGGTTCTTGGAGGATTTTTGCTTGCGTGTGCCTCTTTTATGACAGCATCATGGTGCATTCTACAGGTTATCTTCAGATTAAACAAGTACTCGTGTAGAAACCAAAAATAAGAAGCAGAAACTGAAATTATTTGCGATTTAAAGTTTTTTCCTATCTTTTTTT